ATTAAATTGTTATATTTTTAATTTTTGAGAATTAATCTTATAAATATTTTATTTTTATTTTTATTTTAATGAAAAATTAACGAAAGCCACTAGTTTTAGAACTAAATTTTCAAACCTTTAAATTTAATGGGTAAAAACCTTATAATACAAGATAATAAATTAAAAATTTCAAGTTTAATAAAGTAAGGGTTAAGCATATACTATAACCTAATAGATAAGTCTTAATCTATCTGATTCACTTAACCCTAACCCTGCCCTTTCTCTAATTCTCTCCAAAATTTTCATTCCCTCCTCTTATCAAAAAAATTTCTCCCCAGCCAAATCAAATCACAATCCAATCTTTAATCTTCCATTTCTTTTTCTCATTCTATTTCTTCTCCCATTCCTGTTCTTTTCATTATCTCTTAATCTCACCCTCTGTAGCTTACTCTCTCTCTGTATTTCTCTCTTAGTTTCCTTCATCCTTCCATGATTCTATAACCCAAAGCCTAATCTCCTTCATCCCATTCTCCAAAATGTGAAATACCTTCGACCCATTTCATCAACTTTGAATTTCATAAGTAATCACTGGTTCTTTTGATTTTATAATTACTGAAATCTTTTATGAGACTTTTTTTTCCTGTTCCGAATCTCTTAATCACCAGCAAAAAAGAACATGCACGGGCACAAAATTTTATCAACTTGAACAAATGTTTGCTTTTTCTCCATGTTAATCATTTTGTGTTGTGGATATTTGATTAGTGGTTTGGTTTTGATATGGTGTCTAGTGGCGTCTGATGGCTTACTTTCTGTCGTGGTTCGAGTGTTTTAATTTGGTTCATTTTTATTGTTTGCTTTGTTACTTTTGTATCATTGGATGGCTCTGATATAAGAACAGGCATTAAATTTTTTATACCTTTTGAATTGTGTTTTAAGTGTTTGGTTTAGTGCAGCCATTTTCATGAAATATTAGACCTGTGTCTCAAGTGTTAGTGTTTGATTCAATTTTTTCTTGATTACAGCCTTTTACTTGTGCAATTCATATGCATAATCAATTAAAACAAACTTGATTTCAAGTTCAATTGGAAAATCACAGCTTTTATCTTGAGTTTCGCATTTTGTGTTTCATTCATTTTAATCTTACAGTAGATCGTGTATGAACAGCTTTGGATCTTTGGATAAAAAAAAAAAAAAAGTTTGCTGGAAATTTGGGTAACAAAGTTGAGGGCCGAAAAAATCATTAATTCGGTGAAGGCTCAGAAAACAAACTAAAGGCCCAACAAATCACTAATTCAGGCCCAAAAATTGAATTTTTTAAAATCAAATGAAACCGAAACTGATAGTAACTGAACTGACTAATTTGGTTTTAAAACCAAATACTGTAGTGTTATTTGGATTGGTTTTCAGTTGCTACCTAACAAAGAAAATCGATCGTAAAACTATCAGTTTGGGTTTAATTTCAACCAATCGAATCAATGCCTATTCTCTTTTTTTTTTTTTTCTTAACTGCAGCTTGATGAATCAATGCCTATTTTTAGTTACACTGCATATGATAGGATGAGTTTAAAAATATAAGAGAATGGTGTCTTATTATATTACAGAAAAATTACATTATCAAACATTAGATTTTTCTCTTGATACTACA